ACTAGTTTTTCATGTATTTTACTACTATTTCTGGATGTTAGCCAAATGCAAAATAGTTTTGGGTACAAACAAAATGTAACTCTGTGAGACCAAAAAATGTGTGTTTTGTCTCCAATTCCCTGTATGTTTAAGTTCATATAAGTCACTTAACCTCCTCGTACCTTCATTTTCACCTGTGTAAAAAGAGGGATCATGCCTTCTATTTATCTCTAAGTGCAGGAAGTATAAATGAGACACACAAGAGTGTTGTAAGCCTTTGCAAACATGCATAGAAATCTAGTGTAACTATTCACAATAGCAAAGACATGGAATCAACATAAGTGCCCATCAGTGATAGACTAGATAAAGAAAATGTGGCACATATACACCATGGAATACTATGCAGCCATAAAAAAGAATGAGTCTGTGCCCTTAGCAGGGACATAGATGGAGCTGGAGGGCATTACCCTTAGCAAACTAACACAGGAACAGAAAATCAAATATTGTGTGTCCCACTTATAAACGGAAGTTAAATGATGAGAACACATAGATATATAGAAGGGAACAATGCACACTAGGGCCTACCAGGGGGTGGAGGGTGGGCAGGGTGAGAGGAGGGAGAGGATCAGGGAGAATAACTCATGGGTACTGGGCTTAATACCTGGGTGATGTAATAATCTGTGCAACAAACCCCAGTGATGCACATTTACTCATAGAACAAACCTGCACATCCTGCACTTGTACCCCTGAACTTAAAATAAAGTTAAAAAAATGTAAAAAATACAAGTAATTCTGACATACTGCTCAGCCTGACTGTGTGTAACACATCCTTTAGAGTGCTAACCCACATTAAGTTGATGCTTTTGGTGCTGGGAACCTCATATCTTCTCCTCTTCTGGAATGTAGCTTAGAGAGGAAGCTCTTCTTCTGTGTGCAGAAGGAAGGTATCATCGTCAGTAAGCACTGTGCGGGCCCTAAAGAGTCTTCCTACCCTCTTCCTGCCTCTTACTCCCACTGGCACACCACCAGCTTAGAACTTGGTGTGTAATCAAAGGCTGAGTTTGAATTTATGTGAGGCCAGTTACTAGAAAGCAGTGTAGTTGGGACTGCAGATTCTCACGCTCAGCTATTCTCCCTAGCATTCAAGAACTGTAGTTCTTGAGCACCAGCTTCCTCTGAGCTTCTTTAAAATGTCCAGAAAATGGCCAAGCCAACCACATTTGCTGGCAAGCATAGCACCAGGCATATGGTCAGTTTGAGCACTATTGTAAATCCTCAAATAGACTTTAGAACTTCCAAGGGATCATTGGTTTGATTATCATTGTATCAGCCCATCACCCAACATCTTTGACGCACAAAAATTTGCCAGACACTGTGCCTGGCACTATGAAGGATAAAAAGAGTGCAACAGAGCCCTAGCCCCCTCTCATCTATCTATCTAATGTAGATTAGATAGATATGGCCAAGCACCTAGCAAAGTCACTTCCCATTAGAGTTGTGAATAGTGGTAATAATAATTGTTTTTGAAAATTGTAGAAAAGAGAAGATGTGCTAGAATGGGCAAGGAGGGCTTCATTGAGAAGATGGAGTTGGAACTGAATCTCAAAAGCTGGATTTATTTTGGATAAGTACAGAGGGATTAAGAGGCAGTAATATGAAAACAAAATCTTTTTCTGAGAATGATCCAAAAGAAAGTAGGCAAGTAGAATGGTAATAAAGTTGGCAATATTGGTTCGGAAAATTGTTGTTTGGTCCTGTGTATAACAACATTAGAGAATATTCGCTATAAATTAGGCATCATACTAGGAGTGGGATATAATATGATGAACAAAACAGACAGAGTTCCCACTCCCTGAGAGCTTACCTTTCAGTTGGAGAGGTAGTCGGTAAATAGATGAGCCAAGTACTAAGTCATTCCAAAATCCATGGTGCTGTGAAGGAAATGTCCTGCTACAGGGAGTGTGGAAACCTAGACAGCATCCTGGGAATGGCCACACTAAGAAGCACTTAAACTGAAAGCTGATGGGTGACAACTACCCAGTCTTTAAAAGTATTGAGGAGAAGCTCATTTTAGGTAAACACAACTGGATACAAGAAGACACTAAGAAGGGATGAGTTTTGCATATTTAGTATACTAAAATTATGTCAGGGAGGTTGATTGCATAGGGTCTTAGTGCTAATTTTTTGAACTTCTTTCTTATCATGGAGCTTATAGGATTCTTGACATCTTAGTACTGAAGTACTCATATAATCAATACTAAGAATAAAATGCATGTGAATGATGACTTTTGAACATTACCACATAAATGAAATAACCTATACAACAGATTATAAGCAAGAGGAAGTCATGACAATGAATATGATCTTGATCATCCAGAATTTAAAAGGGGCAATGTATGGTATGCACTTACTTTTGACAATTTAGACACTTTGAGTTTTTAATAAGAATTGGTCCATTTGGTACAAATTGTGACCTTTTGGTAATACAGAAAATATATTGATGAAGCAAAAGAATATATTTTAAGTCGAAATTACAATGTACATCTTCTGTACTGTAAGAGACGCTAGTGATATTGATACATTAATTCATAAGGTAAGGTATTGGAAGATGCCATAATGTAGATCAAGTCCCTTATTATGGTTATGGTGTTCAGTAATACATGACAGTAAGAGAGTTATCACAGGGTGCAGTAAAGTCTAGACTAGAAAAATATCCAAAGCAGTTTAGACAACGACATCTTTTTTTTCTTTGAGATAAAGTCTCCCTCTGTTGCCAGGCTGGAGTGCCGAGGTGCGATGGGCTCACTGCAACCTCTGCCTCCTGGATTCAAGTGATTCTCCTGTCTCAGCCTCCTGAGTAGCTGGGATTATAGGTACACGCCACTACGCCCGGCTAGTTTTTTGTGTTTTAGTAGAGATGGGGTTTCACCATGTTGGCCCGGATGGTTTCCATCTCCTGACCTTATGATCTGCCTGCCTCAAACTTCCAAAGTGCTGGGATTACAGGTGTGAGCCACTGCACCCAGCCAACTACCGACATCTTAGGCAGTTGACCTTAGCTAGTGATTCAAAAGTAACATTTAAAAAATTAAGGGCCGGGCGCGGTGGCTCACACCTGGAGTCCCAACACTTTGGGAAGTTGAGGCGGGTGGATCACGAGGTCAAGAGATCGAGACCATCCTGGTCAACATGGTGAAACCCCATCTCTACTAAAAATACAAAAAATCAGCTGGGCGTGGTGGCACGTGCCTGTAATCCCAGCTACTCAGGAGGCTGAGGCAGGAGAATTGCCTGAACCCAGGAGGCGGAGGTTGCGGTGAGCCGAGATCGCGCCATTGCCCTCCAGCCTGGGTAACAAGAGTGAAAACTCCATCTCAAAAAAAAAAAAAATTATGTGTGACTATGTATGTGTGTATGCAAATGTGTGTATGTGTAAAAAGTTATTTGACCCATCAGACCTTTGAATGCAAACATGTGCAGGAAAACAAGTTTAAGGAAATTAATGGAACATAATTGCAACACTCACCATGAAAGCAAGGATTTGAATAACCTAGCAATTGCATGCACAGATTATTCCAAAAAAAAAATTCAATCTAAAAGTAAAAATAATTCCATTAACATTTAGAAGAATAAATCCAGAGCATTATAATACATTTGCTAATACTCTCCAAATTATTGTGTATATGTACTGCAAATTATACAGAAAAATTTTGAATCTTCCAATGGATTCTTGCTCTTTAATCCTTTTATTTGTGATGTTAACACTTGCAGGTTGAGAAATTAGATGATAATAGTTGGACTTTATATTCTTCCTTTTATGTAAAACCTTGAAAACTTCCATAAATTAAACCTCTTGCTGCCCTTGAGGAATCACAAAATGCAGTACAATTCCTCTAGCATGTCTTACCATGTTCTGTGCTGGCCAGACATTCAGTTCTATTTAAAATCCACTTATGTATATTTTAAAAATTAATTCTCTGGCCATGCCTAGTATGCAAGCACTCTAGTACGAGATTGTAGAGCATTAACATGCTGCCAAGTTGGACCGCATTCAAAATTATACTGAGACAGTTTGTGATTCTCTAATTCATTATCTGTCGTTAGACTATCCATATCATTTTCGTAAAAGAGAAGCAGGCTTATATATTAGCATATGCATGCACATAGAAAAATGAAGTCTAAACTTTTCAGGGTCCTCTAAACCTTGGAATTTTTTAAAAGAAACAATGTTATACACACACCATTTTTGTTTGACCAAATATGATATAGTTTAACCATGAACACATTGAATGCATTTCAGTGTGTCAAATGATGTTTTAAATGTGAATAGAGGTGAATGTGTATGAGAATACTCTTTGGGAGATGGGGGTGTTTTGGGGTTCTGCTGACAATGTTGCATGATTCTGTGATTAACAACCATATTTCTGGTGCTAACATATGGAAAAAAGTTAGCATTTATTCTCCCTTAATGTTTTATCGGCATCTTTGATGTGTTATAAAACAGGCATTTACTACTCAGTAGCTGAGCATTTCCCCCTCTTTGTTACTTTAATTAACGTATTGATCTAAAACAAATCTATAGGATCAAGCTTATTGAGGCCGATGGCCTGTTCATCTCTCAAGAGATTGTTGCTGCACTCCACACACTTTTTCAGTAAATAAAATACAGACAAAACTGCAACATGTGGAGGCTGAAGATTCCATTAAAGACTTTTGGCAACCGTACCTTAAAGATATTTCAAAAATAATTGTGCTTTATGGCTTCTTCTGTGCCATAGCGTATAGCAAGCGTTTTTAAAAAGACCAAATACAGCTCTCTGATTTCCATTTAATGGAAGAAGTAATAAAGTTTAATTGTATACTTGAGCACGGGGCATCATTTCCAGTACATCTGATCAATAATTCATCGATTGCCTTTGGCTCAAAGTAATATTTGAAAGAAAATGCAGCCAGTGGGAGCTTATCTAGCTGTAGCTTCATCATCTCTATTAATTATGCTTTTCCCGAATTTGGATCATTAGGCTACCAAAGTGACAGCAGATGGCGAGCAGACCGGACAGGATGCTGAGAGGACCAACGCCAGAGCAAAGTCCCTGGGAGAATTCATTAAGGAGCTTGCCCGGGATGCAGAAGGTATTAGAAAGAATCACGTTTTAATCATCATATCTCCCAACAGAAAAATACAGAAAGGGATGACACAGGACTGGAATTTCTCTCCTTATAAGTGACATTCATAAAATCAAAGGTTGAGTTTCAGAAAGTGGTGTGGTTAAGACACTCAAGGGTGTGATCTGCTGAGAACCTGTGACCTACAGTGTTACATTAGTGGCAATAGTCAGTGAATTAGTGACAATGAGGGCATAATAGCAGTAAATTCTTGAAACATGGCTATTATAATTATATAAGAATAGGAGACTTTTGCTTTGTTATTGTTTTTATTTGAAAGCATTTAAAAGATTTTTCATTTTTAAGGACACTAATGTTATCATTCCACTTGACACACTAAAGCAGCACTTTGGGTTTCTTAAAATGGCTTTTTGAATACTTGGGACTGGCTTTTAATGAACATCTGTTGCTTGGGATTTGGATGTGCTGCTTTATGAGAAGCTCTAGTGCATTTAGTCCACAATTCTCTAGGAGTTAGTTCTTGGCATCTACTAATATGAATGAGAATCAAAGTGGAAGCCATTTTTGAGCAAAAGCCCAAATTAAGAAACTCAAAGAATACATATAATGCCCCTCTGCCCCTCAAAGAAAAACCCTAGCCATTAAATATCTGTTAAAATATAATAAACATGCATGTATGTTTAGAAAGTGGGAAAATTGTTTTTGTTGTTTTTTGCTTGAAGAAGTAAAATATTTTTCTAGCTCTGCAATATTATGCATTTTAGATACTTTGCTTCACATTGTAGCCAAATAAATAAGGATGTGAGATAAACTTCAAAGCAGATTCTGACTGATTACTCTTAGGCATCACTGGACAAGAAGAGAAGAAATCCCAAAAATTCACCACTGCAAGAAAGCAACAGAATTTTAATCTGAGACCTAATTTGAGGCAAAAGTTGTGAGATTCTGAAACAGAAATTACTTCTACCAGAAAATTCTCAGTGAACTCATTGTAGTTTATCCGCTGCTAGATGAAGCTATTGTACCTTCCCTAGTATTATTTTCCATTAATGCTACTTGAAGTGCCCCCTCCAACCCAAAACAACAACAACAACAAATCCCACTGCAAGTAGAGCATCTTCACTCTGAGCAGATCCCCAAAGGCCCTGGTCAACGCTCCAGGAAGCTTCCTTTTCTCTCCATTGACATTTCAAACATCCAACACCCAGCAGATCATCCTGGGGACTCATTTTCAGTTTGTTTCAATAAAACGTTGGTATGAGAACAAATACTAGCATATGTTTTAATAGATCCTAGTATCAACACTGCTTCCTTTATTCTCTGCATTGAATCCTCCAATTCCCACCAAAGAGACATGCATATTTATGGCTACCTCTTTGGTAAATATGAATTTTTCTTCTGAATGCCTAGTACCTCCAGGTACTGTTTGTACAGTTTGTGCACCAACAGGGGCCAGAGTGGAGATGATACTTATCCCAGGCTTGCTCACCACTCCAAATCCCAAATCTATCCACCAGAGAAAGGATTACCCATCACCAAAGGTGTCTCTCGTTCTCTAAATTATGCATAGGTCAGGTGGTCTGATTGTGTCTGTACAGATGGGGCACCCTTTTCTAATATATGTGAAGAGCCATGTCGCATAGCTATACTTTAGGGAAATAAGAACACTACTCCCTTTTGCCCGCAGGCACTATTTGGTAGAATTAATCCAACTATTAAAATTGAATGAAAGTTCGAATTTAGATTGTAACAGAGCAACACTAAGTGCTCAGATGTAATAATAAGCTTGGCAGTTAAGAGGAGAAAGAGAGAAGGTGGGGGAAGGAAGATAGGAGAGGGAAGGAAGGAAGGGGAAGGAGGAAGAAAAAGGAAGGAAGGAAGGGAGGGAGGGAGGGAGGAAGGAAGGGAGGGAGGACGTGAGGGAGGGAGAAGAAAGGAGGGGGTGAAGGGAGAAGGGAAGAAAGGAAGGGGACAGAAGGAGGAAGAAAAAGAGGGAGGGAAGGAGGGAGGGAGGAAAGGAAGGAATGAAGGAAAGAAGGAAGGGAGGAAGGAAGGAGGAAAGAAAAAAGGAGAGAGGAAAGAAGGAAGGGAAAGGATAGAGGAGGGGGGATGGGGAGAAAGGAAAGAAGGAAAGGAGGGAGGGAAGAAGAAGAAGGGAGAGGAAATAAGGAAGGGAAAGGAGGGAGGGAGGGAGGAAGGAAGGAAGGAAGGAAGGAAGGGAGGGAGGGAGGGAGGGAGAGAGGAAGGAAGGAAGGAAGGAAGGAAGGAAGGAAGGAAGGAAGGAAGGAAGGAACTCACTAAAGTAGGTTATACAACATATCCACACCGCTTTTTTCTCTCTCTCTCAGAACTACAATAGTAGGGGATAGCCATCAGTGCTTCTACATTTTGTTAGTTGTTATAAATTGCTGTGGGTAGAGTCAGTGCTTCAGGCTGGCGTTTGTCTATTTCGGTTTAATGTTCGAATAGATGTACTATTCGTCCTATTTTTCATTGCAGTTCATGACCTCTTTATAGATAATCAACTTCTATTCATAAAAGGCATTCTTATCTCACTTTAATTTTGTAATATCTACTGTGTTATGACTCCTGCTTCCTTCATAATTAAACTATATTTTATTCCATCCATTGTTAGAATTAATGAGTGGACAGGTACAAACCCATTTAAACCCATTAGTGTTTATTTTCTGACATACAATCGGACTTAATCAATGATAAACATAGTTTCTTCCTGTTTCTCAGGTCACAGTGTATTACTTTCTATTCTTCATAAATTTGCCCCATCAGAGGATTTTTATTTTCAGATTTAGTATGAAACAGTTTTGCTTCTCCTGAGGAATTTTTTTTTATATTTATAGATACTGTACACCTCTTAAGAATCCTATTTGTATTCCCTGCTATGCATTGGCTACTAAGATGTTCAGAAGTGGACTTAGGATTCATTGCATTGAACATTATGGTATGGGGTTTTCTGTTTAGTAATTCTTTCCCTGATTTACACTATTTTTTTTTAACCTGGAGCATTACTTCCTTTTCTTTTAATTTTATCTTATATTAAGGATTTTTTCAATTACCGAAATCCTCCTTTGAACTAAATTGGAAATAAATATGTACATTCCAAAGATATATCTTCTACAATCATTTTCAATACTGTAGGAAAGAGAATATATTGAAGTGCTAGGGCATACTTTTGAATAAGAGATGAAAAACACATTCATCTTTAGTTTAAGAATACTCAGAGAAGGTCCAAATCCTAAATTCCAAATCCTATATATAAATAGGATTTGGAACTATAATAGGATTTGGAACTACATATATATATATATATATGTATATAAACATAAAAATGTATGTTTATATATGTCTATAAATAGTGAAACAAACTTCTATTAAAATGATGCTTCCTTTCTTTTTTTGGTGTGGGGGGTGCGGTTCTAAGAAAATCATACTGACTAGCACGTGCTAGATGCTTATGAGACAAGTGGAAAATAATAGCATTTTAAAATTTAACTTTCAGTAGGAAAACAATGGAAAGAAAAATTCAACTAGACAGTTCACCATACAAAAAGAATTTTAAATGAGGATAAGTAAAGTGCAGTGAAATAATCTGGAAAAAAAACTATAAACCTTTAAAACACTAATAAGAAATAAATGTTATCTAAATTAAACTGACAGGTTTTAATGGGCCATATGTAATTTACTTGTGTCCTGATGAGACCGTAGTTTTCTCCAAAGCTCATGCCTAATTTTTTTTTCATAATGAAGATAAAGTAGCAAACATGCCAAAAACTCATTTGAAAGATGTCATAATTTTATTCAAAAAGATAGTGAAGGCCTACGTCCCTTTTGGGGAGCTTGTATTTTTTTACATAACATGGTTTGCAACAAAAAGCTGGATGTGGAATAGCATTTTATTCCATAAGCAGCCAATATATTTGCTGAAATGTTTGCTTTTTTGATCCTAATCACACTGCAATCTTTTGACACTATTTCAATAACAGTAATTGCAACAATTCATAATATCCAACCAGAAATCAAAAGCTCATGACTGAGGTGCACGATGATGTCCATAGAAACTTTATGGGGTATGTGTTATATGTTTTGATGTTTTTTTTCTCATGCTTTTTATTTTCTTTTTTATATTTTTCTTTAAGTTCTGGGATACATGTGCAGAATGTGCAGGTTTGTTACATAGGTATACATGTGCCATGGTGGTTTACTGCACCTGTCATCAAAAGAAGACATTTATGTGGCCAACAAACATATGAAAGAAAGCTCAACATCACTAGTCAGTACAGAAATACTACTCAAAACCTCAATGAGATAACATCTCACAGCAGTCAGAATGGCAATTATTAAAAAATCAGGAAGCAACAGATGCTGACAAGGCTGTGGAGAAATAGGAACGTTTTTACACTGTTGTAGGAATGTAAATTAGTTCAACTACTGTGGGAGATAGTGTGGCGATTCCTCAAAGACCTAGAACCAGAAATACCATTTGACCCAGCAACCCCATAACTGGCTATATACCCAAAGGAATAGAAATCATTCTCCTATAAAGACACATGCACACATATGTTTATTGCGGCACTAGTTACAATTGCAAACACATGGAACAAACCCAAATGCCCATCAACAATAGACTGGATTAAGAAAATGTGGCACATCTACACTAATGGAATACTAAGCAGCCATAAAAAAAGATCCTGACCTTTGTTTGCAGGGACACAGATGAAGCTGGGAGCCATCATCTTCAGCAGACTAACAGAGGAATGGAAAACCAGTCACTGCATGTTCTCACTCATAAGAGGATGTTGAATAATGAGAACACATGGACACAGGGAGGGGAACAACATACACCAGGGCCTGTTGTGGGGTCAGGGGAGAGGAGAGAACATTATGACAAATAGTTAATGCATGAGAGGCTTAAAACCTAGATGATGGGCTGGGCACAGTTGCTCATGCCTGTAATCCAAGCACTTTGAGAGGCTGAGGGGGGCAGCTTACCTGAGATCAGGAGTTCAAAACCAGCCTGGCCAACATGTCAAAATCCCGTCTCTACTAAAAGTACAAATATCAGCCAGGCTCAGTGGCATACATCTGTAATTCCAACTACTCGGGAGACTGAGACAGGAGAATCATTTGAACCCCAAAGGTGGAGGTTGCAGCAAGCCAGGATTGTATCTCTGCACTCCAATGTGGGCAACAGAGCAAGACTCCACCTCAAAAAAAAAAAAAAATCCCTAAATGGCAGGTTGATAGGTGCAGCAAACCACCATGGCACATGTCTACGTATGTAACAAAGCTTGCTTTCTGAATACATGATCATTTTGCTAAAGCCATTTTTGTGTACCTTCATGATTTCCTCTAGTTATTTACAAATGGTTTAAATTTAAAGAAATTATATATGCCATCCGAAAGATACGGCCATGCTTGCCTTTGCCTTTTCCTCTATCTAACTTCATTCTTTTTCTACCAGATTCTTATCTGTAGAAGTTGAGCTTTGACTCTGGAGCACAAGAGAAATAGTGAGATTCTAGCTCTCATTTTTCCCTTCCTCTATATTGCCTATGCCCAGAACCTAAATTAGGTCAAATTTTAAAAGATATCTCTTATGAAAGCTCATTTATACATGCACAGACACACACACACACACACACACACACACACACACACACACACACACACATTCATTTAACAAAGAAAAAACATACAGCTTTAGCAAGTTGGGAAGTGGTATTTATTAACGTCATTTTCATTTTAAAAAGTGAATACGAATGATAGCAGTAGTTACTTACATGCTATAATTGGTTAAAGTCAACCATGCAGATAAAGGATGAGATAGCACCATAGGTGTAGCCAAATGTGTTACTGTTTTCTTGAAATCTAATAAGCAGAAAGCTTCTTACATTTAATTATTGATACTCTAGAGGTCTTCCCACCTATTTTGCTGCACCAAGGGGCTTTCAAACTAATCAGCCCATGGTCACTGTGGTTCTAAAAAAAATTGTGACACAGCCTAGATGATATATCTTACTAACAATAGTGCTGGAATCTTGGGAGAGTTCTTTGGCATGTGTTAAGGTATCACTATTAGACAATGAGCCAAGAAAGAGCCACCCTCGCTAACTTCTAGGAATGCAGCACTGAGCAATAACTTCTACCACAGGGTTAGGGATGGCCATATTTGTTCTTTAAGACATGTGATTCTAATTTTTCTGCTAATTAAACTATAGCTTTCTTAGTCCATTTGGGCTGCTGTAATGAAAATATCATAAACTTTGTGGTATTTCTCATTTCTGGAGGCTGAGAGGTCCAAGATCAAGGTGCTGGCTGGTTTGGTGTCTGGTGTAGAGCTGCTTCCTGGTTCAGAGATGGCTGTCTCTTTGCTATAATTTCATGCGGTAGAAGGGGCAAGGGAGTTCTCCGGCATCCCTTTTAGAAGAGCACTGATCTCATTCTTGCCCTTATGACCTAATCACCTCTCAAAGGCTTTGTATTAATCTGTTTTCACACTGCGATAAAGAATTACCTGAGACTGGGTAATTTATGAAGAAAAGAGCTCTAATTGACCACAGTTCTGCATGCTTAAAAACATGCATGACTGGGAGGCCTGAGGAAACTTATAATCATGGCAGAAGGCAAAGGGGAGGCAAGGAGCTTCTTCACGTGGTGGCAGGAGAGAGAGAGAATGAAGGGGGAAGTGCCACACACCTTCAAACCACCAGATCTTGTGAGAATTCACTCACTGTCGCAAGAATAGCAAGGGGGAAGTTTTGCTCCCATGATTCAATCACCTCCCACCAGGCCCCTCCCCCGACATGTGGGTATCACAACTTGAGATGAGATTTCAGGTAGCAGGGGACACAGAGACAAACCATATCAGGCTCCGCCTCCGCATACCATCACATTGGGAATTAGATTTCAGTATATGAATTTGAGGGAAACCTAAACATTCAATCTGCAGCATTGGCTATCAGGCATAAAGTATGGACTACAGGAACTTTTAAACCAAAGACATATATAATGAAAAAAGGATTCTGAAGATGCATTGTGGAAAGGGTACATTAGATATTGACACTCAATTCTTTCTACTAGCCCAGTGTTTCTCAAACTCTAGGGTACATCAGGAGCTCTGAGAAGGCTTGTTAAAACCCAGATTGCTGGTCCTCATCCCCAGAATTTCTGAGTCAGTAGATTTGTGGCAGGACCTGAGAGTCTGCATTTCTAATGGACTCCAAGGTGATGCTGCTGCTGCTTGTTGGGGACCACATTTAGAACCACAATGCTGACCCTCCGTCTCACACACCCCTCTGCCTGTTCTGCTTGTCCTGACTATGTGCACCTATTTCAGGAGTTCTGCCCAGGGCAAATCAGAAAACTCTCTCCAAGAGTAGAAATTAATTTTCAGGATTCTCTATGTCATAAGGAGGTCTTCAAATACACCCGAGTGGTAGAAAATGCCTCTTGGCCAGCCCAGACCCCTCATTTTAGGAGTTTTCAAAGGTAGTATTAAAGAAGTAAGTATCAGCTGACAAAAGAGTTTGCGAAAACATCTCTCTTCAACTTACTAAAAAAAATGTCCTATCGAACACACTCCAGGAAACTTTAGTCCAAAACTAATAATAGAACTGTGTAAATGTTTCAGTTCACCATTTTAAACTTTTATTTGACATAGAATTCTTTTTTCAAATGAAATCTTGCCCAGAACAGCAACCTATAAAGCAGATTCTTGGCAGAATAGGCATCATTTGTAGAAAACCTGAAGCACCTGGAGAATCCTACGATTCCAAGGAGCACAGTTTGAAACCCCATTTAATGCATAATAAACACAGACCCTTGTGTAGGATGCTATTGTTGGAAGGTGTCGTTGAAGCCTAATTTATAACCCTTCTCCTAGAAGGGTGATAAGCCTGAACTAGTGCTTCTCTCTTCACTCTTTTAAAAAAATGAGCACAGGAAAACTATGTGGAAATACCAGAGAAGGTTCATTTTCAGAGATCTCATCACAGAGTATGTCCATAGTCGGTATTTTTAAACTGACTGATAGCCATTCCTATGACTATCTTATCAGCAATGCTTGTGTATCCAGCCTCAAGGTGTTCCAGCCTCAAGGTGCAGAGCTTGTGTTTCCAGCTTCAAGGTATTATGCTACAGGCCACTTTTTTTTTTTTTTTAATCTCTGATCAGAATATGCTTTGACCTACTTCTTTATTTGTGATTCATTCTTTCTTTTGGGGTTAGAAACACTGTGGTTTAATTGCTGTAACCCCCAAAATAAAAAATTATTGAGAAACATATTATGCTTCCCTGTTTGTTACTGATTGTTGTTTTAACTGCCTGTGTGTTTCCCAGCAGGAACACTCAAGGCAAAATACTCTTCATCTGGAGATGGCGGTGCCGAGCAGATGCTGAATACTGTGTTTTATTGTGGCATTTTTGTTTACTAATTTACAAAATTTGTTTTACCCCCTGCAGCTATAAATGAAAAAGCTATAAAACTAAATGAAACTCTAGGAACTCAAGACAAGGCCTTTGAGATAAATTTGGAAGGGCTTCAGAAAGAGATTGACCAGATGATTAAAGAACTGAGGAGGAAAAATCTAGAGACACAAAAAGAAATTGCTGAAGATGAGTTGGTGTGAGTAGATGCGTTGTTATTTTTTCATTTGACAAACTGAGATTTCCAGCTAATTTACAGTTTCTAAATTTTTATCACACATGTAAGCAAAGAATACTCTGTTTTTCCAACCTGGAAATGTGTACAATTTTATCATTTTATCTATCTATCTATCTATCTATCTATCTGTCCATCATCTATCTAATATTTATTCATATACTTATTTAATTGTACTTTACCATTGTTCTAAAATGAATCAAAAGCATATTCTTGCCTACATATAAAGAATGAAGTAAATGATCTGTTCTGTTGCGACCCCGTCTATAATTAGGCTAATGAGCTTGATTTGTTAATCACCTGCCTTAAGGACTTCTAGACTATCAGTTGATTTTTGTTTTAAGAAAAACACCTTTGGATAAACCAAGTTATGACTTTACCATTCATGTGTAGGCCATCCTATACATTTTATCATCTTAAGAAATGCTGAAAAGAAAAGTCATCAAATAATAAATACTTTCAAATAAAAGTTGGGAATCTGAGGATTGGGAACAGTGATAGTGATTTTACCCACGCTAAATAACTGTTATAATAACACCCTCAATAAAACAGATACATCTCTACATTCATAGTCAGCTAACTTCAAAGTGGCAGAATTATTAATACTTAAATGATATATACTAAACCAGCAATAGCAGCACACCTGAGAACTTGTTAAAAATACGGTTTGTCAAATCCCATCCCAGACCTCCTGAATCAGGAACTTTGGGTATGGGACCCAGCAATCCATGTATTAACAAGTCCTTCGGGGAATTATGAGGCATGTCAGCTTGAGAATTACTGTTTTTCAAGTTTTTAAACTTTCTTAATGACTCAGAAATTATCTCTTTAGAAAAACTAGATAAGTTAAACCCAAAAAACTTCCAGGTCAGTCAGTTGGAAGAAAAAGAAAAGTAGATTAAAATCATGCTATTCCACTAGCATGGCAATAACCTAGAATTCTGTTCACAGTTTCTAAGCAAACATATCAATATTCATCCTTACATTCAAAGTAATAGATAAAAGGTCTCATTACAATTAAACAGGTGGATTGTTTGATTTTAGTATGTGAAGTGAATCATAAAACTCATTTCATCAGTCAGATTCTGAGAATGACATGAGACCCCTTCTGATTGAAAATGTTGTTTTACTAATAAATTTAAAAGGTTTTTAAAACATCTGTTTTGCTTTCATTTTAATTAATTAAAAGTGGTCTCGGGTACCAGTTTTCAACTTGATTTAGCACACAGTGAATCTTTTTTACATGTTTTCTTATTTTCTCATTCTTTTCATGTTAGCATCTCTTTGTAACGTGGTTTAATACCAATAAACCCTAAGGCGGTGACATGAGCTCATTGTCTATTATTGGGCTGGGGGTGGTTACAGAGCTGCAGAAAGCCTTCTGAAAAAAGTGAAGAAGCTGTTTGGAGAGTCCCGGGGAAAAAATGAAGAAATGGAGAAGGAGCTCCGGGAAAAACTGGCTGACTACAAGAACAAAGTTGATGATGCTTGGGACCTATTGAGAGAAGCCACAGATAAAATCAGAGAAGCTAATCGCTTATCTGCAGTAAACCAGAAAAACATGACTGCATTGGAGGTGAGTCTTAGGGGCACGTTTATCTCAATCTCAGAATGCGGTGGGGGTGGGAGAAGTGTTGAACATGGCTGGACTATTCAAGTTGATGCACATTTACAAAGGTCAAGATTAACAACGCTGAAAGGGTACTTCTAAGAATCAGAACAGGAAATGACTTTTTTTGTTGTTTTGCTTTTAATGACCAATTACCATCACCCAGAGAATCAAATAAAATTTCAATAAGTTGAACTTTTGAAGGTATTTAAGAACACTGTGTTACCTTGGAAGGAGTTCTTTACAGGGAGTCAGGGGACCTTGATCTCAATGACAACTGTGCCAGTAACTAGACATACAAATTGGACAAGTCAACTAACATCTCTAAGCATCAGTTCCCCAAATCTACAATGAGTGCATTATACTATAGCATATCGGGGATCTTCAACTATTCCTATCACATTATTTTGCAGCTTTCCCAATCTAATTCATAAACCTGGTTCAGAGATCTTGCTGCCAGAAATCACAGAAGTTCCCTACACTTTCAAATACAATCTGAGCACCTGACAAATAACTCAATGAATTGACACCAGAGCTTGGAAAAATTTTAGTTCCCTTTTTTCTGTACAGTGTGTACTATGCAAATGGTCTTTTAAAAGGGACTAACATGAACAGATCAGGGCTGGGTTATTTTCTCCTCCTTTTCCTCACAGAAAACAGTTACTTATCAGCTCAAGAAATTCTGGGCAGCCTCTATCTTTTTCAGAGTACTGATGAAACTAGAACTAAAACAGGTTTCTCCATTATTTTTTTCTTCTTGTTTTCAATTTCTTTCTTAATCTTAGCACAGTAAGTGATCACTTTTCCCAAGAGCCAATTCAACACACGTAACAGTGGAAACCTGTATTTCATATTAATATTTAAACAACAATAACTTTCTCCCCAGAGACAAATTTACCTTTGTTGTTTTCAAACTATCTGACTCCAACAGGTCAGAAAACATCAGCAGACCTATATATCTTCTAACATATAATTTCAGCTTTAACAATAACTCAACACTCTTTGGCATATAGCATGTATGTAGAAATGTTTGTTGAATGACAACAGCAATTATATAAATGAACCAGGATTTTTTTCTTCTGAGATAGAATCTCACTCGGTTGCCCAGGCTGGAGCGCAGTGGCGTGATCTCAGCTCACTGCAACCTCTGCCTCCTGAGTTCAAGCAACTCTTCTGCCTCAGCCTCCTGAGTAGCTGGGATTATAGGCGCACACTGCCACACCAGCTAATTTTTGTATTTTTTTTTTTTTTTTTTTTTTTTGAGACGGAGTTTCGCTCTTGTTACCCAGGCTGGAGTGCAATGGCGCGATCTCGGCTCACCACAACCTCCGCCTCCTGGGTTCAGGCAATTCTCCTGCCTCAGCCTCCTGAGTAGCTGGGATTACAGGCACGTGCCACCATGCCCAGCTAATTTTTTGTATTTTTAGTAGAGACGGGGTTTCACCATGTTGACCAGGTTGGTCTCGATCTCTTGACCTCGTGATCCACCCGCCTCAGCCTCCCAAAGTGCTGGGATTACAGGCTTGAGCCACCGCGCCCGGCTAATTTTTGTATTTTTAGTAGAGACAGGGTTTCGCCATATTGTCCAGGCTGGTCTTAAACTCATGACCTCATGATCCACCTTCCTTGGCCTCCCAAAGTACTGGGCTTAAAGATGTGAGCCACCGTGCCCAGCCAAACCAGTATTTTTTAAATCTACTCATTTCTATTTTCCTTTGGATTAAGTAGTAAGAGGATGTATTACATTTTTAAATATATTGTGTTTCTAGGTCCCTCCTCTGGGACTAAGCCTTGTCATTCTGGTAGAAGATTGAAGAGGCTTACTTTTTTTCTTAACTGACGCACCTAATCTTAACCAATGTGGAGTCTACTGACATGCTAGCAGTATTCCAGAAAAAGCTCCCTCCTGCGAGGCGGGATGCTAGGCCGCTGTCCTATCACAGGCTCCCGCAGGATTCGCCATGCTCAGTGACACACAAGCCGTATGACTTACCCAGAGGTGCACCTCTCTATTTTATGGCAACAGTTTGAGAAATGAAAATTACCTGTGTGGAAAGCAGAGTAAGTATTTGAGAAATATTTCAAGAAAAGTTATATGGCACAGTCCACAGTACCTTCAGTCGTTTCCTTTAGTGATGTTTAAAACCAGAAATCATCATTCTTGGGCACCCCTACAAATGCCTAGAGCTTATGTATAGTCACTACTGAAAATCTAAGTGGTCCTTTTTGGATTTTTATCTTATGTGCTGTGCTTAACTCAAGGTTTGTTAAGAAGTTACTGGATAAATAGATAAGCTAACTGAATTCACATGAATAAGATAGAGATTATTTGAGGTTGCTTAGATTATCATGGTTGCTGCTAAAATGGCTGAAAATCACGTGGAATGTTTGTTAAACAAACAGGTCCCATGGGCTCCCACCCAGAGTCTGTGTAGGCCAGTCTGGGGTATGGCCCTGTGTCCATATTTCTAACACTCTCCTTGGGCTAATCTGATGCCTATACAGGTTTGAGGAAAACTGACACATTGCATCTATTTGATTGCATAATAAGCTATATTTTAAATAAATAACTCCCTTATGACTGTGCCTACAATGAAGGTGATATAATTAAGACCCAACTAGAAAACGTTTTATTTATTTTAAGGTGGTAAGTATGTAATTTTATGTTTAAAAATTTACTGAATCTACTTCATTCAGGAAACATGCTAGGTACCAAAATTTATTGTCTCAATGAGGAGGCCCCTAGAGCAGCAGCATTAGTGTAGCCTAGAAACTTCTCAAAAAGACAAATTCTTGGACCTCACCCCCAAATGATCAACTCAGAAACTCTGAGAATGGGGCCCAGAAATCTGTGTTTTAAAAGCTCCTCTAGTGATTCAGATGCAGCCTCACTGGTATAAACAATAGAACACCATCTCTAATGACATCAAGTAACTTGTATTTAGTGGGAGGTGTACACGTAAGCAAACCACTCCATACACTACCGTAATGATCACAGAGGTAGGCAAAGGAGGGAGTCTCAGTCACCCCTGAGTTTAGGAAGGGCTTTGTAAGGCCCTGACACTTGTACTAGATCCTAAAGGGTGAGCACTCGGCCACAGGAAAAGGAAAAGAACATTGCAGAAACTGGGAAAAACATATACAAAGGCATGGAGGAAAGAAAAGGACATTTTGGGGGAAAGTTCAGTGGCTTGGTAGGTTGGGAAGAAGACTGCGTGTTGAGCGACTGGATGGATAGAAAGAAAAGATAGGCAGAGTGCAGACCTTCAGTTACAAGAGAATTACACCGTGAGACTAAGTTGAGAATTAGTTTTTATCCGGAAAGCTATAGAAAGCAATTGAAATACGGCAGTCTTGGGTTTAAATAAAATTTAGGGGAATTTGAGTGGTTCAAATAAACTGAAGACATGGTTTTGTATTGGAAAATGGTGTGATATTAGGCTAGAAAATTAGGCTGTGATAATATTTATTTAAATTTCTGTCTGGTACTACCATTTCAAGGTATTGTTGGTAACCAGGGTATTTGGGATTGAATAGAAATTATTCTTGGCCTCCAAAAACTTATAATATCCCCAAAAATTCAGACATTTTAACCTTTCACTTGACCTAATACTGTGATTTCATTGACTGGGAGATTTCAGCAAAAGTTTCACAAGAATGACAGCATCCTAGCAGAAATTGAGAGGATTTGAAAGAAAGGACAGAGTAGCAGGAGCCCCAGCCCAGAGCTCCAGAAGTGTAAGGTGGTCTTAGGAAATGTTCAATAGAGCAGAAAAACTTTCAAAAGCTATGTAAAAGTCTGTAGCACAGATGGCTCTGGAATTTGGAGCCAGATCTTAGAAGGCTTTGAATGCAGCCTACTAGATGGTGATGGAGTTAGAAGAGCATCTCCAGTGAGGGAGAGAGGGCCGAAGGGAACTGGGGACCTCATGGACAGAAAAAGAGGAGACGAATAATTCAGTGAAGTAAATAATATGTATGGAACAGTCTATCCCCAAATCTACCACTATGACCTTGCCAAAGAAGGCAGTGCAGATCAGGAGTATGTTGCTCCATAAAGAATACACAGGCCAGCCTGGACCATATGGTGAAACCCTGTCTTTATAGAAAAATATACAAATTAGTCAGGCATGGTGGTATGTGCCTGTGGTCCCACCTATTTGGAGGCTGAGGTGGGAGGATTGCTTGAACCCAGAAATTTGAGCCTGCAGGGAGCTGTCATGGTGCCACTGCCTCTAGCCTGGGTGACAGTGAGACCCTGTCTCAAAAAACAAACAAACAAAAAAAAGCAAAGAAAACAAGAATGGACAGGAAGATAGTTTTTGCAGGTTTCTGAAGAATCCACCACACCAACACACCAAGAAAAAACAAAGGAAGGAAGGAAGGAAGGAAGGAAGGAAGGAAGGAAGGAGGAAAAGTTCAATTTGCAAAGCTCCAGAATAGGGTAAGATCTAATTAATTACAAGTTAAAAGTAGAAACATAATCAACCTTCATATTCAAACAGAATCATTGAGTGATTAGGCTTATACTATACTTTTTATAGAATAATTCTCCCTATACATAGGGCTTTTCTTGTTGTTGTTTCTTAAATATTCTAAGTTTCCTATCTTAGGTATTTTATATGCTACATCATTTTCTATCTCTGTCTTTGTTTTTGTTGCACTCATCTAATTTTCTTAAGAGTATATTATACATGAATTTACTCATTCGTTTTATCTCTACTGCACACAAGCCATGAGGAACATTTGTTCTTCCTCACTTCATCCGCAGATCCTAGAACAGTATCTGCCAAAGGCAAAACAGTTTTTTTGGTCCATGAATAAATGAAGGGCCATAAAGCAAACCCAAATACTCCATATTTTTACCAATATTTGTGAGCTCCAAATTTCCATGTTTCCTCGATTAGTTCAAAGCTAGATTTCATCAGTATCTAATCTGAAAAATAGCCACCTCTAAAATCTCTTTAATCTCACCATCATCATTTCTGATTGAGTATGAAAAGAGGCATATTTTGATCTTTGCATAACGATTGACTCCCTAATGTGACTCAGTTAAAGCTTTTACAAAAGATTCTAACTCACTACTTTATTGAAATGAAAATATATATAGCTCTTCAATTAACACATATGGAAATATTCTCTCTGCTTCCAGTGGCACAGCATGTTAAGTTACCTTGATCCATTAATTCAAACAAGCCATGTTGGAAAGATTCCTGTATTTCTGTACATGGCATACTTTAAGTCAGTTCATACAAAAGCTAAGGGCTAAAATTGGCAGTTGTGTAAAATAATGTTAGACCCTTGGAAGATAAGATATGACTTGTAATCAGGGACATTTGGGACTGTTCCTACGTTTGTTGTCCGTGAAGAGTGAATGACACATGTCAGAACTTGCCCTGAATTAGTGATGGGAGTATCTGAATGAACCAAGTGTCACTAGGACAAGTCCCAGGAATTGACTCAATTTTCTTTTTTCTTTTTCTTTTTTTTTTTTTTTTAAGACAGAGTTTTGCTCTTGTCACCTAAGCTGGATTACAATGACGCGATCTTGGCTCACTTCAACCTCTGCCTCTCAGGTCAAGCAATTCTCCTGCCTCAGCATCCCGAGTAGCTGGGATTACATGCGTACACCACCAGACTCAGCTAATTTTGTATTTTTAGTAGAGACAGGGTTTCATCATGTTGGCCAGGCTGGTCTCGAACTCCTGACCTCAGGTGATCCACCTGCCTTGGCCTCCCAAAGTGCTGGAATAACAGGCGTGAGCCACCACAGCTGACCCATTTTCATTTATTTATTAGAAAATATTTATTGAGGAAACTCATCTAGGTACTAGAGATAGTGATACATAAGGCTGTCTTTATGGAATTTGTTTTATAATTCAGGAGATGGTCACTAAACCAATAAATAGGTATAAGATATGACCATAAAGTCTGGATACATAGACTGAAATACATAACTTGTTTATTGATATGTAATACATAGTATGTTTCATGATATAGCGTAATACATTCAATGTGCATAATACATATGGCATTATACATTCCATTCATTGACAGCATATACTGCAACAGGCTGTGCCTTTCTGCTGGTCCCTGTATATGCATCTGTGATGCACTGGTGTCTCTGATTTTCATTACATAATCTTTGTTTTTAGCAACTCCCATCAAAAGTAATCAAGATGAATCAATCTATATAAAAAAGAAAATAGGGCTGGGCGCGGTGGCTCAAGCCTGTAATCCCAGCACTTTGGGAGGCCGAGGCGGGTGGATCACGAAGTCAAGAGATTGAGACCATCCTGGTCAACATTGTGAAACCCTGTCTCTACTAAAAATACAAAAAATTAGCTGGGCATGGTGGTGCGTGCCTGTAATCCCAGCTACTCAGGAGGCTGAGACAGGAGAATTGCCTGAACCCAGGAGGCGGAGGTTGCGGTGAGCCGAGATCGTGCCATTGCACTCCAGCCTGGGTAACAAGAGTGAAACTCCATCTCAAAAAAAAAAAAAAAAGAAAAAGAAAAAAAGAAAATAATATTATCTATGTTTCTGTAGTTTTTGAGCACTCCACAGAATATAACTCAGATAAACAAGTGCTAAGAAGAAAAAAATAAGGTAATTATAATAGTGAAAATTACAGTGTTACTGTATGCCAGACAGTGTTCTAAGCTAATTCTCTAATTTTACAGTGAATGTCTATCACATGGGTTCTTGTTAAAATGCAGATTCTGAGTCAGTAGTCCCCAAGAATGGATTGAGATTATGTGTTTCTAATGAGCTTCCTGGTGACATTGATGCTGCTGGTGAATGGGCCACATACACTTTGAGTAGAGAGGGACTAAACATTTTATATGAAGCTAAATTACTTCCTTAAGATTTTATAGCTTGGGAGTGAGCAGAGCTGAGATCCCAAACCAGGAGGGTTGTCACTTGAATGCAGCTTTTAATCACTGTGCCCTAGTATATAGAGAATGATTGAGAAGAGGATGGGTGCTCTTTTAGACAGGTAATAAGAGGAGTGACTATTACCAGAATGGAAGGAGGAAACAAGCCAAGGAGTAGGAAGACCACACAGTGGGAGGATCTGCAAGGGCAGAGGCTTAGAGGGAGGAACTAGATATATGGGCCTGGCAACATACTGAATTGATTGATTAAAAGAAGGAAAGAAAGGTATAAAATTAGCACTAGCCCAGTGCAAATTTTTTTAAAATGTGATTTCTATAATAGAAGGGACAGTATTTGCACAGTCCAGGACCCAGAATCTATCATTAAATAGACAGGAGTTTAAATCTTAACCACACTGTACAACGTGACCTTAAAGAAACCATTTACTGTCTTGGTTCATTTGAGCTGCTATAGCAAGAGACCAAAAACTGAGTGGCTTGTATGCAATCAAAATTTACTTCTTACAGTTCTGGAGGCTGGGAAATCCAAGATCAAGGTGTTGGCAGATTTGGTGTCTTATGAGATACCCCTTTCTGGTTCCCAGACATCATTTTCACTGTGTCCCCACATAGTAAAAGGATGAACAAACTCCTTCAGATCTCTTTTATAAGAGCAATAATCCCATATATGAAGTCTCTGCTTCATGACCTGGTCACCTCCAAAGGCCCCACTTCTAGTCCTATCACCTTGAGGATTAGAATTTCAACATATGAATTTTCAGAGAACACTAACGTTCAGACCACTGCCCTTTACCTGTTCAATTTTCCACTTATGTAAAAAGTGATCAACATAGAATCCAGAGTTAGCATAAAGTAAGAAAAGCTTATAAACTTCCTGGCACATATTGGGATCTACATGAATTAGCATTATTGTCTATAGAAAAAAACTAAGTGGTCAAAGCTTAGTATTATAATTGAGGCAGTTAAATCTGTAGGTAGAATGGTAATTTCAGGAATAGGAATGAATCAGAAGTATAAAGAATTTTAAAAAAAAGTAAAAAATATGCCCCAAATGGAGAAATAACAATATTTGTCTCTCATGAGTTCTACTCTTCTAGGCTGGGATTGCATTTCATGTAGTTTTTAGACAAGCTATATGTTCCAAAGCAAAATTATAATCTTTTCCTTATGAAACAGTCCATTTGGTTTATTCTTCCATGTGATAGTTTCTCTATTTCTTAAAAAGTACAAAAAAAAAGTACTTCCCCTAAGTTTCCTTAAAAATCTCACTTCAAATTTCACAGAAATCCCATTGAATACATCTGCTTATGTTTATGTTCACAAAGTACACATTTGTATATAGATTCTAGAACTCAATATATAGTACCAATGCAACTATTCAGCATTTACATTTTAGTTAAAAATGGATGTTCCATCTTTCTTTAAAAGTAGTTTTAATCCCTCAACTAGAATCGCATAACTTTTCTTCACTTGGTTGACTTTCTCACAATGAGAAGGAGAAATAACCGATACAAGCCTCTACATAGAAGAACTCTTGAAGGACTGGCTAAGTAGTTTATATTATTCTCATCTAGCCACACTGTCAACATGATGTACCTTTTTTGCCAAGCTTTTATTCGAACAGCTCAGGAAAGTCAGGAATACAGGGCTAGATAGGATTTTGCAAAAATGCAATTTTGATGTCTTGTTCACATCTGTCTACAGAAAAAGAAGGAGGCTGTTGAAAGTGGCAAACGACAAATTGAGAACACTTTAAAAGAAGGTAATGATATACTCGGTGAAGCCAACCGTCTTGCAGATGAAATCAACTCTATCATAGATGTGAGTATTTGGTAGAATCAAAAGAGATACGGTAATACATAAATGGGAGCCAATGAGAAAGCTCAGTAATATAAATAAATATTAGTCTTTGTTTTCTTGTGGAGATAAAATTATTTTGCATGATTCTGCTGTGACCATGCCTCTCAGTTGGTGACAATTGGAATGTCTCTTTGTTCTTGCAATGGACATGAGTGTTTGTTTAAGGGTACTCATTTACACAAATCCGTTTTTGTCCACAGCGATGAAAGACATTTCTTGTTCCTAGAACAGCACTTACAGTCTGCTTCAATATTTATATAACATTGGTTAAAAGAGAAATGTAAATTTACAAACAGGCTTTTAATACGTAATATCTAATGTATTGCATAGAGTGATATGTAGTCATCGATATGCAAATGGCCTAATATATCCTATGAAGTGGCATTGTTTAAATAGATAGGCTTTTCTTGGTGTAAGCTGGCTTCTTAAATTCATAGTCTGTTTCATTAAATAATGACTTTAATTCTCTATTCTTTTTGCTATGTTAGTAAATTTTTTTTTTTTTTTTTTGAGACGGAGTTTTCGCTCTTGTTACCCAGGCTGTAGTGCAATGGCGCGATCTCGGCTCACCACAACCTCCTCCTCACAGGTTCAGGCAATTCTCCTGCCTCAGCCTCCTGAGTAGCTGGGATTACAGGCACACGCCACCATGCCCAACTAATTTTTTGTATTTTTAGTAGAGACGGGGTTTCACCATGTTGACCAGGATGGTCTCGATCTCTTGACCTCGTGATCCACCCGCCTCGGCCTCCCAAAGTGCTGGGATTACAGGCTTGAGCCACCGCACCCAGCCTAAATTTGAAGTTTCATTTAAAGACTAAACATGTGGGCTGGGCGTGGTGGCTCATGCCTGTAATCGCAGCACTTTGGGAGGCCAAGGCAGGCAGGTTGCCTGAGCTTAGGAGTTCGAAATCGGCCTGGGCAACATGGCAAACCCCATCTCTACTAAAAATACAAAAAGTTAGCTGGGTGTGGCGGCTGGGCACCTGTAATCCCAGTTACTCAGAAGGCTGAGGCAGGAGAATTGGTTGAACCCAGGAGGTGGAGATTGCAGTGAGCCAAGATCATGCCACCACATTCCAGCCTGGGTGACAGAGTCAGACTCTGTCTCAAAAAAAAAAAAAAAAAAAAAAAAAACAAAAAAAACTAAACACTTGTAGTTATGTCTCATAGAGAAATTAGTAAAAGAGAGAAGGCTTAAATTCACTTGCTTAAAATATCCTCTTCTCTACATATCAGTATGTTGAAGACATCCAAACGAAATTGCCACCTATGTCTGAGGAGCTTAAAGATAAAATAGATGACCTCTCCCAAGAAATAAAGGACAGGAAGCTTGCTGAGAAGGTGTCCCAGGCTGAGAGCCATGCAGCTCAGTTGAATGACTCATCTGCTGTCCTTGATGGGTATGTCATTTACGTTGGAAACGTTTGTGTATTTTGATGATTGTCCAAAGGTTTTGACTAGCATAAATGGTAGAGAGTCATTTTCAAATCCTGATTGCTGTTAACTGTGAAAACACTAGCTACATGGCCTTCCTGTGGAAATGCTTAATTAGGAGGGTCTGGGCAAAGCTCTACTGGAGCAGCATCAAAAGTCTGAGTTACAAGTAGATTCAAATATGGCTTAGTAGGAAGCGAACATAGCCCTAGGCTACACTTAGAAAAAAATTATTTTCTGTTCTTTATTAGAAAGCACAGTGGTTGCCTTATTAGCATTTTAAATAACACATATAAAACACATTCTGTTTCAAATTTCAGTTTTATATTTCTAATGAAATCAAAACAATTTATTGTTAAAAGGGTGGCTTTCTTTTTTCCCACTCTTTTATGCTCCAGGGAGTGATTACATTTTCTCCTGTAAAATAGCAGCTTATTCTAGCTGGGATTATTATATAGGTCATAGGAGGGAGAGAAAAGAGGGAAGTATGTATTTGACTTACAAACAGCCTTCTGTGTATAACTGATAGGTTTCTCCTACAATTTTGGGATTGTCATGATTAATAGAGGTGCTATTAGCCTCAAGAATAATTTGCCCAAATAAATCTACATCACATGGGAGGCTTTGTTCTCATACTTAATACTTCTTGTTACAAAGAAAACAATATTAATTTCTGAATACCTTGGACAATATATGCAGTATCATTTTATATCAAACATTTGCCACTTTATAGTGAAGGGTGGGTGGTAGATGAAACAGAAAGCTAGCTATCACTAGACCCAGGCTCTAAGTCCTTACTTGGTGACATATTGGTCATTTGGCCTGAAATAGGCCATTTAACCTTCTGAGATTCATTTGGTCTCCTCCGGGAAGTGCACCTACACCGGAAAGATTTTGTGATATTAATTCCAGTAATGTAGTACACGTACTTTGAATCTCACAGCATGCTTCACAAAGTGAAGAATTGTCTCATACCACACACCTGCTTGAGCACATGGTTGCAGAGGAGGATGCTATGGGTTTTTAAGATATGTTGGTAGTATTTCACAGCTGAATTATTTAGAAATACAAATTTAGGTTGTAGAAAACTACAAGACAATATCATAAGTAGATACCTCACTATGATTCAGAATTGTGATAGTTACCCTGGCCATGATCATTTGGAAGCCAGATTTCTTATAGTTAGGATGTTCTTCACTTGAGTACCTGAGTACCATTGAGTGATGTGACATTCTTTTTTTGAATCATCTCACCAGAATCCTTGATGAGGCTAAAAATATCTCCTTCAATGCCACTGCAGCCTTCAATGCTTACAGCAATATTAAAGACAATATTGATGAAGCTGAAAAAGTTGCCAGAGAAGCCAAAGATCTTGCTAATGAAGCTACAAAACTGGTAAGAAACAAATAGCACATGTGGAAGCCAACCTTTTTGAATTTTTAATATTTAAGTCAGTCTGGAAAATCCCAGTAAATTGGCATATTTGTTTTGGGTCATTTTTGAAAACCTCTTTTAACATTTACCTAAAATAAATTCTCAGTATGGTATAATGATAGCAGAACTATTTTCTCAGTCACCCACTACCACTGTGAGGGGTTAAAATTATAGAAATGAAGCGGGTTTGTGCTACTGACTCGCAAAATAAAATGGGCAAAGAGAACACTCTAGATAGGGAAATTTATCACAATTATGTCAAATGTCATTAGTAAAAAAGAAAAAAAAATAGCCATTGCATATAATCACACACAAGTTGGTTACATATGAAGTTTGGCTATAAAATGCACTTTTTGTAAAACATACTGGATCATATGCTTCTAAACTATACCATTTTTATGAATTAATGAATTTTTATGAATTTATGAAATCAAAAGCTCTTAATCTTTGGCTGCAGTCATTGCTCATAATACATTTGGAACCTTTATTTTAGAGTTTGGGCATTCCAAGTTCTATCACCTTATTTGAATGCCTTTGATGTTGACAAATCTTTATTCTTTAGATGTAAAGCAACAGTTTGTAAATAGTTGTATGATAAACCTTGGTAGTACTATTTTAGTTTTAAGAAAATCTCATAGGAATCATCCCGAATAAAATGTTCAGAACCAGCATTTATTCCTTTTGCTTCACATAGAATCTACCAAATACATGAAATTTTTCTGGGAAAGGAAACCTGATTGGACATTTTGACTGTAAGTGAAATACACATAAGCAGTGGTGTTAAAGAAACTGATCACTATTTCCTCTGCTTTGCTATAGGGCAAAAATGCTTTCTAGGATTTCAGGGATATTAGAGATACTTACCACAGTCTTAGCAGGTTCATTTTGTGGTCATAATGAAAACATCCTATTCTATGAGCAATTAGTATTGTTGTTGGTTTCTCTTGAATGAGCTGTACTATGTTCTGTTTACTTATTCAACATAGTGGCATGATCATTGCCGAAGCATTTCTATGTTCAGTTATCCTTTCAAAATGAATCACTTTTCAAATCTAAACTAAAATTTTTATCCACCTTCTGATAGATAATTGTCTGTTTTAAATATCCTATTTTCCATGTTCCCCATTTTCATTTCACCTGTTTTATCCTATGATTATTTTCAGTACCTAAAATGGTGCCTGGCAAATAGTAGGCACTTATGAATGAATGAGTGAATTTTTTCATTATAATTGACACCTTTTATGCCTATTCATAATCTTTTATATCAGTAAAAATTTGCTATAGTCATTTATTCATCCTTATAAATTTCTTGTAACATTTTATATTAAGGAGCTGTTTAATTTTACCTCATTTAGTACCTTCACTTTATACTTGGGAAACTCATTTTTTACCCACATGAAGTGTGCACTTACTTCTTACCACCAATGCTTACGCATGGTGGGCTAACCAACCTCAAACACAGAGTGATGGTAAGTTGTAATGCAGTATTATTCCATGTCATTATTTCTTCTCTCTTTCCACAATCATTTAAAAAAATTAAGTGTCTGAAAAATTACAAAATAAGTGCTATAGAGAATCGCTGACTTATTAAATGACTATCAGAAAAGAAAAAGGAGATGATCTGTCCAGGAAATTTTGTTGGAATGTGTTTCATGAACAGAATAAATAAAATTTTAGTATTAAGAGATCATTATAGTTCTATTTTGCTGGAAAGGAAATATATTTGAAAAACATTAAGTTGAGTAATTATCTATATAGGACTAACATCCCATAAATATAATATCTGGTATCATTGCTAAAGCTACAGATCAACAGAGAAGAATGAGATTAAATGTATTATTTATGTATAAAAGAGTTCAAAGCATCATAATACAGAAGAGTTCTCTACTCATTTGAGTCTAGCTGTAGAAAGAAGGAAGAATGTTTTCAATAAATTAAAAAGAAGAACGAAGAAAGCAAGTATATATTTGCAGGATGAAAGCAAAAGGTCAAGTAATAAAGCAACAAGTTACCACTATGAAGAAAATAGAGGTCAGGTAATTTGAGAAGAAAAAAACATTGAAAAGACCATAAGAAAAGAAACAAAGAAATGTTAGAAATAACCTACAAGCGTAATTAAGACAACGTTTTTAAATAAACTTCGATTTTTAAAAAATTTGCTTGCCTTCCTATGTATAAACCAAGACAATCAAGAACCACACTGAAAGGAAAATAGGAGTGAGAAAGAAGTTGAGCCTTTGTAAGCAGGAGGAAGCTAAACACAATTTGTTGGTAGTATAGTATTTCTTTGAAAAGAGTAATAGATACTTGTCCTGCATAAATAATTTCATTAAATATCAGAATGAAATATTATTTTAAGAACTCAGACATCATGAAATAGCAAATGCTATTTTCCTATTGGTGCTGGCTGAGTAAAGTACTTACAGCATTTGTTTTCCTATATATAATCGCCAAGTAAATATCTCATTTAATACCTCTCTTATGGATGTAAGGAAAAGGAGAAAGGAGATATGTCACTCATAAAATTGAATAAAAATGGAATATGGAATAGGGATTCCATTATTTCTAATCTTAGTTGCTTTGATCCTGTAAAAGACTCTAAAAAACAGAGAATTGGATGTATTTAAAAATTTCCAAGTGATAGATAAAGTCGAAGCCTACAACTACCCACTAGATCAGATTTTTTAAATGGTTGAACATGTTAGGGTTCCCTAGAACGACAGAACTAATAGGATATGTGTACATAAGAAGGGGAGTTTATTAAGGAGTATTGACTCAGATCATCACAAGATGAAGTCCCACAGTAAGATGAGCAGGGAAGCCAGTCCAAGTCCCAAAACCTCAAAAGTAGGGAAGCTGACAGTGCAGCCTTCAGTCTGTGGCTGGAGGCCTGAGAGCCCCTGGCAAACCACTGGTGTAAGTCTAGGAGTCCAAAAGCTGAAGAACTTGGGGTGTGATGTTCGAGGGCAGGAAGCATCCAGCACGGGAGAAAGATGAAGGCTGGAAGGGTCAGCAGGTCTGCTCTTTCCACTTTCTTCTGCCTGCTTTTATTCTAGCTGCACTGGCAGCTGATTAGTTGGTGCCTACCCACACTGAGGGCGAGTCTCGCTCTTCTAGTCCACTGACTCAAATGTTAATCTCCTTTGGCAACACCCTCACAGACACACCGAGGAACGATACTTTGCATCTTTCAATCCAATCAAGCTGATAATATTAACCATCACAAGTTCACTCCCTGTCAACTTGAACCCAAACACATATCCTGAAATCATACATAATCTCCAAATAAAGACAATAAAAATGTCATAATTACACCTAACCTAATACAGCTATCCCCTGTACAGTTGGAAGCACACTAAATCTTTAACCTAAATGCTATTACATAAAGTTAACAACACTTAAACACTGATATGAAGTCAGTAAATCTTACCTCACATGATAAGGCAAAAAGAAAGGAAATGATATTTTCTTAGTACAAGTGTATAAATGCACAAACATATTATTAACAGAATAATGAGGAACTATTCATGACAATTGCAGTCCTCATTTCTGCAACTGGTCACGTGTATGTAGCTGGTATTGATGAGTACCTGCCTCTACTATCCATTATGTATTCCCTTTGCCTTCTGCAAGCACCTCAGTGGGCCATGGTTTTTTAGCTGGCAAGTTTTTTACCTTTTGAGTCTATGGACCAAGTGGCAGAGCAGTTTGCACAGCAACCTGAACCTGTTGCCGAGCCCACTCAAAATTGGCGCCTTTCAGGCCCCTCAATAAATGGGCCAGAGTAACACACCCAGGTACAATACTTTCATCCTTCAATCCAATCAAGTTGACCCTTAATATTAACCACCACAGTGAATGAATAGATTTTCTATGATGTTGGCTCCTTGGAATGACCACGAGAGGCAATAAGTGCACTCTCAGTAACACTGGGATATGAGGCCCTCCTCTGCCCATTTCCACTGGACATGTCTTAGATGCAGTGCTTTTTCAATCAGGTATATCCAAACAACAAACAAACAAAACACGGCTAATGCAGAATGAATTCCATAGTTCAGGTTCTTAAGGATAGTGGAAAATCATCACACAATCTCCACCTATTTTGAAACATTACCTTCTTTATCTTATTTTTATGAAAAATAAATTACATTTTCACTTCCCATGGCAAATGGAGTTCTCCTCTTGCTTCTGTCCCTTTTCTTCACCTTGCAATCACTGTCATTTTGCACAACTTTCTCTCTATCTCTGTCTGTCTCACACACACATACACCCACAATGTTCCTTAACATCTTCTAATCCTAATTCAATTTGTTTAGTTAGATATTCACTAGAAATGAGTATTAGAAATGGGGGAAAGTTTATACTGGTTGAACTTGGGTTTTCCAAAGAAACAGAACTATTAAGAGATAGATAGGTAGATTGATTGATTGATTGATGACAGATAGATGAATGGATGGATAGGTAAATAATAGATTGGTAGATGATAGATAGATACATAGATTAGATAGATAGATAGATAGATAGATAGATAGATAGATAGATAGATTAGATGATAGACAGGAAGAAGAAGAGATTTATTCTGAAGAATTGACTTACAGGATTATGGAGTCTGTGAAGTTCCAGAATCTGCCAGCTGCAGATCCAGGATGTAGTTCACTTCAAGTCCAAAAACCAGAGAAACAAGAGGAGCTGATGGTATAAAGTACAGTTCAAGAACAAGAGAGAAAGTGAGATGAGCTGTCCCAACACAATCTGAAAGGCAGAAAAAAGGGAAGGACTTCCTCCTTTCTTTGCTTTTTGTTCTATTCAGGCCCTCAAGAGATTGAGTGATGCACAACTATATTACGGAGGGCAATCTCTTTTATCTGCATCCAGAAACACCCACACAGACCCACCAGAAGTAACATCTAACCTAGGTGCCCATGGCCAGTCAAGTTGACACATACAATTTACAGTCACAC